AATGGCTCACATCTGTATTTATTCCCAAACTACTGATTTTTCTGTAAAATATTTTTGTAATCTCTCTCTCTCCCTCTCTCTCTCTCTCTCTCTCTCCCTCTCAATCATTTACTCACTCCCTATTCAAGACTCCGAATACAACAAAAGGCATTTAAAACGAACAGTCATTATATTGAAGCCATCAATAAAAATGTGAAGAGAGAATAGTGTAAAGAATAATGGCTTTCGTTAACCGAATATGATATACAGCCCAATATATAACCCATTATAGCCCGGCTTTCGGTCCCAACCGCTAACCAAATTAAACTTTGCGTTCATTTATTGTCCCAACACTTGATATTAATGTTGTTATGCCTTTCGGAAATTCTTTCTCTCTCTCTCTCTCTCTCACCCACGCCTATTGAAAGCAAAGGCGAAACTCGCTTTTGATTTTTGTTATTTTTAGCCCTCAATTCTTGTCAGCAATTTTTTAGTTGCCTGTAATAGTTGTGACAAATTGTTATTTCAGTATTTTTGTGATAAATGAGGGGTCACTTAGAAAAAAGTGTTGTTCAGACTGAACAAGAATTAACTTTTCTTTTTTACTTCTTATATATAATTTCTTGTGCTCTCTCTCTCTCTCTCTCTCTCTCTCTCTCTCACTCACTCACTCACAAACACAACATATTGTTGGCGTAAATGAAAAATTGTTTAGTTTGCGGTGAGACGTAAGTCGAAACTAATGTTATTATATTGTACTCAACGTTTCATATAATATAACAAAACTTCAATTACATTAGAGTTTCTCCACCAAAAAAAAGTGATTTCAAATGCAAATTAATATAAATGTATATTTCATTTCAACGTTTTATTTTAAAACTTATTAATTATTCACTCAAATTCATAACATATACTTGTTATACAAAAACTGATAACAAGTCTTGTAATTTAAATAAATTTTATTACATATAAATTTCTACAACAATATTAAAGTCGATTTAATAATGAAATGTTATTAACTTATGGGTCTTATGGAGTGAATTAACTCAACAACAAAAAAATACTTTCAAATTATTAACAATTTAATGAATTGCGATTAAATAACTTAATACACTGTATATTATTGTAAATCTAATAGTATTTGTTGAAAGCAATTATGTCGTACACACAGACCATATAGAGAGCCAATGTATTCACTAAACTAATCAAAAAATGTTAATCTTCTTAACCCATAAGAGAGCTGTTATCACAGGCTTTTCAATAGGAGTTTAGAGAGAAAATGTTGAAAAGTATTATTAAAATTTTCCTAATTATAATCAAAAGCATTTAGCCATTAATGCACTCCTGAAATGATACTTTCTTACAATGGCTTTCTGTTATACTAATGCCAACACAAATAACTCTTGGGTTTTATTTTAATGCACTTTTTTCTCATTCAATTATAATAGTCTCTCATTTGTTTTGTTAATAATAGTCATCATAATAATAATCTTTGGTTTTAGGGAATATATAAAACATTTGGAGAGAGAGAGAGAGAGAGAGAGAGAGAGAGAGATAACAAGGGGTCCCGCAATAGGTCTTGGATTCAATCGACTCTTTGGGCTCATCGAAGGCACGGCTCAAACCAAAGTCACAAATGAGCACATCGTTGGCCGCGTCTAACAGAATATTCTGGAGTTTGAGATCTCGATGGGCGCAGTTCTCGTCGTGCATAAATACCATAGCGTTCAACAGCTGTGCGAACAATTTCTTGCACTCCTTCTCGCTATAAGCCTCGCGACCGCTCAGTTTAGTAAAGAGGTTCCCATTCGGCGCATATTGCATGAAAATATGCAAAACTCCCGGTCCTTTCGGTTTGCCTTTTGCCGGCTCAATGATAAAGTGGTCGACACCCTGGAGGACGTGCGGGTGTTTCACGTCCTGTAATATGTATATCTCATGCTTGGCGTCCAGTAGTCGGCGCTCGCGTTGTTTAATCTCTTCGGCGTCGGTTCCCGGCGGAGGGATTTCCAACCGTTTACAGGCCAGTTGTATCCCCGGTTCGGTGCCCTTCCGGTACGTCACTTTGTCAACTGTGCCGAAGTTTCCTCGCCCTATGTTAGCGCCAAATGTGTAGCCGTGATATCTGTATACGTCTTCTTTGGTCTTAAATCTCTCGTCCGGTAGTTTATAGACAACAGTGATGTCCACTTCGGGTCGATTCTTCAGATCCCTTTTACCGGTCGGCACTCGGCGTCCCGTCGGCGGCGTTATTGTGTTGAGCTGTCGTAGAGTCCGATACTTGTCTTCTTTCATCTCTCTCTTTGTCTTCTTTCGACAAAAACAGCCACAAAACAGATAAAAACAGATACTATTGAGTAGTTTAGACATTATGGACAATGGTTTGCAATTCTGTCAATTCAACATTCAAATCTATTCATTCATTGAGATTTGCATTACATTTCAAATAAATAACACTTGAATTTAATTCGTGCTAAACTTGTATTATTCAAATCTTTTCTAATTATTATCAATACATTATTATTAAGTTAAATGACAACTAAATCCAGTCTCGAGACATATTATGAGTTGCAGTACTTTTTTAACATGTTATTTAATGTTAACATTTTGTCAGTTTTACAGTATTTTAATGAATTATTACATCAACTCTGCCCTCCGTCTTCGGGTCATTGATTAAATGTTTTTACCATTAGTACCTTTATTATGGATAACTAGTTTTCTGGATATTCTTCGCGCCATATGTTATGTGCAGATACTTATACTCCCCTTACGTATGCTTATTGAACAATAAATCCATACAATACGTACACATAATATATGGCGCGAAGAATATCCAGAAAACTAGTTATCCATAATAAAGGTAATCGGTGTATGTATAAAAAGTTTATAAAACAAAACTTTATTATAGGAAATATTATTTAAAACTTTTTTTCGACAAAAAACAAAATTCTTAACTCAAATCATGTTTAGATTCAATATATTTCCCTTTAGAGCAGTTATACAACAAAAATAAGAAAAATACTTCATTTTATTATAAAACCTAATAATAAAACTCATATTTCTTATAAGTTATTATACAGAGAGGAGGAAAAAACAAATAAATGACCAAAAGCTACCGAAAAATGTTATATCTGTTTCGGAAACAACATTGAGATAATTGAATGATTTCGCAAAACTTGAGCGTATTTTTTCATTTCTAAAGTATATTACTTGACGTTTGATTTGAATTTTTCAACAAAAAAAAACCTAATATTTTCTATAATAGTTGACCAATACTTCAAATACGGTAGATATCTGTAGCCATCAATAATATTACTATTCATTTGTGTATAATGTTTGATATGCTCTCAAATTTCTCATTTATTTTTTCTCGGTACCAATTATAGTGTTATGTAATCCGAAATTTCATTTTGTTTGCTATTCTCATGTATTCTCATTATATTTTTATTTAATAAATAAGCTATTTATAGGTAAATGAGATACTTTTTTTGCTTTTATCCAAAGTATGCATTAGTTTTCTCATTCATTCATATAGTGATAGTGAGCTAACGCTAGGGCTTATGGCAGTCAATCAATTTAGTATAAAATTAGTTTGAATTTACATTGAAAGCCCTGTTATCACAACCGATCTGTTCAACCCATTTGCCAGAGATTGCATTGAATGCCTGCACACACTCTCGTCCTCACTATCTCTCGTTTTAGTAAAAATACTGTCGGAATTAATTTCATTTTCAGTTCACTAAACATTACTAAAGCAAAACTACTGGTAAATTCTGTATACAGTATACAGAATATAGCGAATGGTAAAACTGTTTGGCAGTGCAGACATAAAAAGTGCCAAAATATATACGATTTTTATGGAAACTTTTGCACATCTGCTGCCTATCTGTGAGAGTCTATGATTGAGAGAAGAGTTTGTGATTTGAAGTCAATATTGGAATTGCATTCAAACGATCCACACATTTAACCAATAGCTTAAGTCTCTCTCTCTCTCTCTCTCTCTCTCTCTCTCTCTNCTCTCTCTCTCTCTCTCTCTCTCTCTCTCTCTCTCTCTCTCTCTCTCTCTCCAGTAGTATCACTAATACTGAACGTAAAATTGGTGCTCATCTCAGATGTACTTTTGCTTTAGTTTTTTATGATTTATTTTATTTTTATTTATACTTACATTCACTATAGTATGGCTGTTATGGACCTCAACATATCTAAACTGCACTCCACTCTACTCTTTATAAATAATAGTCTATTTGCGCACAAAAAACAAAACAAAAATACAGTGAAATAGTTTTCCAAAACATTTTATGTTTAAAATTTTAGAGTTAATGTCAGACAAAACAGTAAAACAAATAGAAAAATATTGTTTTTTATTTGATTTATTAGAAAAAATTTGAGTTTATTTTCATTGAAGTAATGGCCGGAGAGAGAGAGAGAGAGAGAGAGAGAGAGAGAGAGAGTTAATTCAGACTTGTTTTCGTGGATTTAAGCCTAAAATTACATTTCAGTATTTGGTTGTGTCCACAGAAACCACCGCTCAAATGAACCGTTAGGTCTCGTAATTTTTCTCTCCACACAAAAACCCAAATAATAATGTAATTCAGACTTGTTTTCGTGGATTTAAGCCTAAAATTACATTTCAGTATTTTATTTGTTGTTTTTAATGGAAAGTAGTTTTCAGTTTATTTCGTACAAAACGTGAACCATTTCTTTGAGACATTATTATTGAGTACACTATTAAACACTTTAATATCGGCGTAATGTGTACCGTATATGTTAGCCAAACATCTTATTAAATATTAACATGACCATCGCCAATTCATAAATCTAACATAATCATTTATTAATAATTATAAAAACATCGATGTCATTCATATTGCTTAACTAAATAATTGGATATTCTATTGTTTTTTTTATTTGCTCTCATTTTAATTTATGTCATTTCGTACTTTTATCTAACAATTGTTACTTTTGTACAAAAATCAAATTCTTTGCTTTAATATATTAATAGTTAATTCTGTGATTAATAAATGGGTTTTAATGTAAAGTTTACGAATGATTTTAATTTGAATTTTGTATCATAATTTATATACGATTGGCCCACAACTAAATAATCAGTTAATTATAGAATAATGTTTTGTTAATGACATTTATTTTACATTGTATTAATTTATATTAATAATTAATTTTCAATTTAATTAAAAGTTGTTGTAATATATTTTCTAAATCTATTTTCTATAATGCTTGATTTGATTTGAAATGGCATTATACTAAATTGTGCTATATTATTAATGTCAAACACAGTTTAGCATAAATTATAAAATAATGTTTTAAAACAATAATTATTATTGTATAGCAACAACCAGATTTTTCTTGTTGGTTAATAAAAATAATAGTTGTTTATTTAATATCAGCAAATATTTTAATCAGTTCACTTGCATAGCGCAATAATTTTAAAATGTTGTTTTACTTACAGTGTTGTTTAAAATGACCAGGTAAAATTTAATATTATCTAATGATATAATAATTTCTTATAGTGAAAAATATTTGTTTGAAACGAATTGATATTTCATTTTGTTGTGTAAACTGTGTATTGCAATATTGTTAACGACTTTGATTACACTGTAAATCGACAATATCTAGCATTTATATTATTTAGAATAATCTTGTATTAACTAATAGACATATAACAGGACAATAGCAATGGAGTTGTCCGGCTTAACCTGGCAGGAGAATAGAGAAATTAGACACACTTTGGGTGCATTACAATCACACGATCAACTCATCAAACACATCAAGGAAAACAATCATGATGAGAAGTTTGTTAACTTTTACATTTCGCATCTACATGCATTTTAGATGTTTACCATAGATTATAATGTTTATCATTCATGTTTACTAGATATCCACTAGTGATGGACATCGGGTGCGGACCGGGAAATATTGCTAAAGTGTTGGCCAAAGAGTTAAACCCGGATCATATCGTTGGTTTAGACATCGATCCCAATGTGATTGCATTTGCCAAACAACACAACGCTATGGCGAACACCGATTACTACATTCAGGACATCTCTCAAGAGTGGAACCAATGGGACAAAAGTCTCCAAAAGTTGGCCGGAAAGGTGTCCGTAATCTTCTCCAACTTTACCCTGCATTGGGTGCGAGAGTCGGACACTGCGGCCCAAAATATGGCCAAACTATTGTCAAATAATGGTATTATAGTTGTGAATATACTATATTTCGGTGATATCTATCGCAACGCCGGCACCGATGACCGCAGGGCTGAGTTGGAGCGACAGCTCCGGTATCCCAGCGAACAACAGATGATCGGCCAATGGGTGACCGCATTCAAGAGCGCCGGACTAAACCGTATTAATATTAAATACGGGGAATCAAAGTTTCAACGTTCGGTTAAAGTCCACAATGGTTAGTAACTATAAAGTGATTTATCATATTTGTAATTGTATTACTTTTATTGCAATTAATTAGAGATCATTAAATTGCATATCAATTGGTATAAACAGTTTCTGACAGACAGTACCGGTAATGAAGATATTGATAACATCTTACGAGAGCTGATCATTAAGTACTTCGAGACTCAGAATATAGTTAAACAATTACCCAATGATAAGAATCTGCTTGAAATTGAAGGAAGATCGTATGATTTTATAATAAGTAAATAATATAGATAGTTATTTTTATGATTACTTAATTGTAATTAATTTTAATTATCAGTATTATTTAACATGTATTGTTATTTTTTATGTACTAATTGATGCAAAAATGTATACAGTGATGTATTTCCAATCAATTATTAAATGATATATTATTTTGCGCTAAAGAAAACATTGAAAATAAATTAACATTATTTTATTAATCTTATGCTGTTTTTTACAGACGCCAGGTTCATCTACTGATGAATTTTAATTGATATAAAATATAATTATGTTTTTAATGAAGTATTTTGATATATTTAGCCAATATTATACTAAATACCATATTTTGCTTTAATAAATAATAATATCTGAGATAATTATGAGATAATACCTGAATAGTGTTTACATTCATTAAGTATTAAACATTTCAGGCATTAAATAACTTATTGATATAAATTTACTTTTATCACTTAATTTTGCACTAAACTATTAAATAAATAATATTTATATTTAATTCAATGTCGCTTATATTCTTCATTTAGTATAAGACTTTATAAATTTAATTAAATATTTATAATATTATATTATTAAATATTAATAAAATGGTGATTGATTTATATTACTATAAATATAGTGCCCCTTCGAGGGCTGTTTTGATGACTGCCCGACATTTAAATATTAAGATTAATGTAAAATTATTGGATTTAAGTAAAGGACAACAGCTCTCACCTGATTTCATAAAGGTTTGTCCATTTGATTGATTTGAAATAATTGTTATTCAATATTCTTCAGGTAAATCCTGTCCATACGGTTCCCACCATTGATGACAATGGATTCATACTATGGGAGAGTCGGGCTATTATGCAGTACTTGTGTAACCAATACGCGCCCGACAGCACTCTCTACCCCAAAGACCCCCTGAAGAGAGCACTCGTCGACCGTTACCTTAATTTTGATGTCATTCTCTCCTCATCTCAAAGAGAAGTTTTGATAAAAAATTAGTTTTGTGTTATTTTTATAATAATGTTATTCAGTATTTATTTACAATATTATAAAGTTATTGAGTTCTTTATATTTAGTTCCCTAAACTTTTCTTCAGTGTGGATGTGTCTGAAAACAAAGTGAAAGTCTCTGATAATTATCTAAAAATTTTGGACCAATTGATCGGAGATAACAAGTATTTAGTCGGAGATGAGTTGACAATAGCTGATCTCTCGCTGTTATCCGGGTATCGATTTCTGGAGTTAACTGATTATGATTTGAATGATTACCACAATTACAAGCGATGGTATTCAACATTGAAAACAAAACTCATCTATTTTGATGACATTAATGACATTTCAAAGAAGGACTGGGATGTAGTGATTGATAAACTGAAAAACTTTAAATATTAACAACAATTTAAATGATTTAATTTTAATATAATATTTTTGAGATTTGAGAAAAACCCGTTTATCTAAAAAATAAATCAATAATAAAATAATTTAATTCATAAAATTTAATTACCTTAATTTTTAGTCACAATATTAAAAGTACATTATAATATTGAAATTTATAATTTTGTTTTATTACTAATAAAAATAATTATAAATTAATGTTTATATAAAGAAGTTGTTTTTTATTTGTCGTGGTATTAGTATAAATGGTTTTTGTCGACCATTTCAGACGTATTGGATGTCTAAATATAATGGACTGAAATGTTGTTCACATTTAATGAAAGACTAATTAAATAAGAAATTGTGAGACAATTAATAGACTTATCGGCGCATTAATGATCACATCTATAATCTCTTTGAATGCATTTCATTGATCTTTGTGTCCAATTCATGATAAGTGGTCTCTCTATTCATCGCATATAAAGTACTTTATTTAACAAATGGTTTGTTTGAATTAAAAGACCGTTTGTTATTCTCGTTAATTACTTTAATAAAACTCGCCGTCAATTTGTTAATCAACTAAACCATTTTATTATCATGATAACTTTATTAAGTGGTAATATTAAAGATATTGTACTAATATTGTTTAATAACATTTTAAACACAGTTACATTGGGAAAACTTATTTTATTGGTATACAAATTATTTTACCTTATAAACTCATTATTTCTTACTAAATACTTTTGCATTTAATAATATATTGGTAAATAACTTAAAATTTAGTCACAGAAAAGATTATTAAAAATACAATTACCGGTAAATTATTTAAACTGATGAAATAGGTTGTGGTTACATATTCAAACACAATGAATAGATTGGTGTCTACTGTAGCTATTTATGAAACCTGTTCGCATAAATAACCTTCTAGTTTTCTAATAAAAAGTAAGTTTTAAATTTCTTATCATTCATTTGTCATTAGACTCTCATTGGGAAACATCTATTGTTGTATTAAATCAAACATTACATACAATTTAAAATAACTGTGAATACAAAATGGGAATCGACTTATATATCAACAAATTCAGTACCCCTTCCCGTGCCGTTCATTTAACGGTCCGAGAGCTCAATATTGACGTTAATATCCATTACTTGGATCTCACAGAAGGGGAACAAATGACTCCACAGTTTCAGAAGGTTTGTCTGTCATTAACTACTGATTTTTAAACACCAAAACAATAACTTACTGTACATTTGTTATACTGAATATTATTATTATTATTAAATTCAGTTAAACCCCAACCGCAAAGTGCCCACAATAGATGACAATGGATTTGCTTTATGGGAGAGTCGGGCTATAATGCAATACCTGTGCAATCAATACGCGCCCGACTCTACTCTTTACCCAAAAGATCCTAAAAAGAGAGCAATTGTCGACCGGTTCCTAAACTTTGACCTCTCATTCTTCGCAAACCATAGAGAAGTTGTGGTAGTATATGAGTGATTAATGTTTTGATAGCCTTTTGGTAATTGTAATATTTATAAAACAGATGGCAAAGACATTGCGTGGAGTGGATCCGCCCGAAGACAAACAACTGGCTCTAAAAAATGAGTTGAAATTATTGAACAGTTTGATCGGTGACCACAAATATCTGACGGGAGAAGTGCTAACAATCGCCGATCTGTCCCTTTCGTCAATTGTTGCAAACTTTTATTGGTTTGACTATGAATTGAGTGAATACACAAACATTGAGAGATGGTATTCAACACTACAGAAAGAATTGCCATATTTTTCGCAAATCAATGACATTCCCAAAGAGGAAACCCAACTGTTTTTGAATAAAGTGATGCAATGGATGGCTAAAAAGTCTGACAAATAAAATAGCTATAAAATTAAGAATAATTTCTATAATTGCCATTAAAACCTATTATACATTATAACAATGATATAGAAAAACTTAATCTCCTCACTTTTAAATTTATATTGTAACCTTGTATTACAAAGAAATACTACAGTATGTTGTTACTAATAAATAAAATTTTATAAAATACAATGTATTTTGTATAATAAATTTAGAATATATGATATTACTTCGAATCTACCATATTCAATAGAAACTACATTACAGTATACATACATACACGGATAATAATATAATCAATTTAGAGAAATTATTATTTAATTGAATACAGTATTGAAAGTGATGCACATTTTATTGACACATTTCCTTCTCAATACTCTCTTCAACACCAGTTTATACGACAATCTCCTCCTTATTATTCAATGTATACTTCAAAGTAAATCAGTTTGAATTGCAATACTATTCATACGCTTTTGACATTTACTTAACGTTTGATGTTTTCTATTAATATAAAAGATAACATATTTGTGATAAATTACAAAAACATTTATTAATAATATAGATATTTGTTGTCAATTCAATGATTAGGCAAAGTTAGTAAACAACTCGAAAATATTGATTGTTTAGGGGTTTGAAAATAAAATGAGTTGAAGTGTGGATAGGATTGCAAATAATTGTGTCATATATTATATATAAAAGCAGTTATAGAAGAAGAAGGTGTCAATCAATATGTGTTTTCAAAACATATTCAATAGTAGGACAGGAATTGAATGTCAAAAAATGAGATGCAATACAATATTCACTTTACTTTTTATTTTTGGGCTGTATTTTGCATACAAAGTATTTGAAAATTGCAATACATTTCACTTCAATCAACACTTGAGTTGAATGGAAAAGCAAAAGTTTGTCTCTAATTCTTCCTCATTTCTCTCTCTCTCTCTCTCTCTCTCTCTCTCTCTCCTATTCTGTGAGACATAGAGTCGATTGTATTATCAATATTTGCTCCGAGTTTTCAATAATATGAAGATTTGTCCAAACATTTGAATGAATGAATTTTGATAGAAAAGTTAAAAATAAAAAACATTTTTTTGTCTACATTTGAACGATTGTGTGATATATTCAGCTATGAATTGAAATCTGATATATTTAAAAAATTTAAAGTCAATATTTCTTTACAGTAGAAAACAATTTAAATTACTTTTGGATTTATTTTATTTTTTGCTTTTAAAACTCATTGTAATATTAAATTTCAACAAAAAACAAATCTATTATTTTTTCCAAAATTCTATTATAATATTTGAATAAAATTCTGTGAAATACATCACAAGTAAATTCTGGTTGAATTGAAAAGATTTACAAAACCTTTTCAACATTATATATAATTTATATAATAATTTATTCACATTTCTATTATTCAATGACTTATTTAATTTAACTCGGTATTTCTTTATTAATTTTTATCTGTTTATAAACAACTTGTTTTTATTTTAATTGTATGAATTCATTTGCGTTTGTATTGCAATTGTATTATAAATATAAAATTAATTTGAGATTAATTGTCTATAAATTAATTCAAAACAAAAATATATTTGAATATTAATAGAATAATTGAATGAAGAGAGAGAGAGAGAGAGAGAAATGAGGAAGAATTAGAGACAAACTTTTGCTTTTCCATTCAACTCAAGTGTTGATTGAAGTGAAATGTATTGCAATTTTCAAATACTTTGTATTTGCAATTGTATTATAAATATAAAATTAATTTGAGATTAATTGTCTATAAATTAATTCAAAACAAAAATATATTTGAATGGAGAGAGAGAGAGAGAGAGAGAGAGAGAGAATAGTGTTTATAAGAAATGATTGGTTTATTGTTATGAAAGGAAAGCGAAATAAAGGAAAATAAGTTTAATTAAGACAAAAGTGTTGAAACATTATTAACACAATTAAATGTAATCGTATGTTGTATTGTGTTTCCAATAGTGACTACAATTGCGATCGGTTTTGTGTCCACACATGCCGTCCAACACAACAACACAAGAAATGAAATAACAAATGAAAAATAAGTCCAAAAGTTTATTATGCGATCAATCAATAACTGTTCACTTCGTAACACTATTTTCCCCTTCAATTCACTCATTCAATCAAAACTCTTGTGTTCGGCACCAGTAGTCCAGACACACGGTTAGCATTGGCTACTAATTGTCATTGAAGTATATTTTAGTCTTATATTATTGTCGTTTCTACAAAAATTATTCATTCACTATTATTCAAACATTTCTATAAATAACAACATTCTCTCTCTCTCTCTCTCTCTCTCTCTCTCCATTCAAATATATTTTTGTTTTGAATTAATTTATAGACAATTAATCTCAAATTAATTTTATATTTATAATACAATTGCAATACAAACGCAAATGAATTCATACAATTAAAATAAAAACAAAGAA